TCTGTCTTGCTAAAAACTGCTATCCGTGTGTGTGTGGCGTTTGTTGATTAAAACATACCGGATCAAACGAACGCGAGTTTTGTAAGACAGAAACGTAGTGGTAAACAGTGTTCATTCTGTAGAGTGCTCTGGTCATTAGAACTGGTCCACACCGTGTTCGCAGGCACACACGCTTTCTTTGGGAAGATGGTCTAACCGTTTTTACCCACAGACCACCCTCCCGCAACCTCCCCCCCCCGCTCCCGCCACCATCCTGGTTCTTGCCAATTTGTCAATGTCAGGCGAGAATTTGAGCAGGATACAGCCAAGATCATTACTCACAACCAGATCAGAATGCGACCACCGCCGCCACACTTTATGGCGGTTGCCAGCGCTTGTGCAGCACGTAAACATCAGCTTCTGCTGAAGCGAAATCTGACAGTATGGGGTGTGCTTCCTGGATTATGTGTCCCGATCCGGTTAATAATGACTTTAATTCGTGACTTTGCCTAGTTACACCGACGGATGTTAGACCCTTTGTTCTTGCTTACATTCAATTCCTCCCTTAGACTGACCGATCGACAAGTACCAATCTGGAGAGAAAGGATGAATTTCAGCTATCTTGAAAAGTGGCTGCAATTGTTTGGCCTCCTTGTCATCACGGTTCGTGCGTTGTCTAGCGTACTTATACGCAAACAGGAAACCGTACCAAGTGAGTAGATCAAATGAAATTTTTCGCCTACAGATATATGTTTGAACAAATGATATCAATCTCAAAGTGATTAATGTCATCAGTAGTAGCAATCTGAATTGCAAACCGTTTTTAACTTCTTAGTTTCGCTTCTGGCAACCTTTGTGAGCTTTCAAGCTATTTTAAAGCGATAGCAATTTCGGTGAACACGTTTCGCATATTTGATTCTGTTCTTTCGTCTAGTAATTCCCTCATTCCGAATTCAACTACAATAAATCAACAATACCGGTTCCGACATCCCACTGGCATCAATATGCAAATGATTTATCCGAACAAAACGTATTTGCCTCCTGCGTTTCTGTTCTACCATCTCATCTATCAAACGACAGTCTGCCTAATTTTATTGGTCAAAGAACTGATGCCAAAACGCAAGTAAAACAGACTGTAGTGGATAAGCAAATGCGAGCTGTAATAGGGCGGTGAACAGCGCTCACTGTCCCTCAGTGTCCTTCAAACTCAGGCGATTTGATTGAATTGCCTGAAAGGACTACAATCCTAACAGGCTGATCACAGCTTTGCCTCGTATCTTGTGCGAACTTGTCACGTGACGAAAATATGTCTGAACTAGGCCGACGGATGATGGCTGCACGGAAAGGGCGCGGATCGATATTTGTATTTCAAACAATTGCCGAGCCAGTGGTAATGATAGGTCAGCAGCTGTGATATTGATCATTTCCGAAAACAAGCTTTTTTCTACAGAAGTGTCAAACTACTCATAAGTTTGCTATGTATCATGTATCAGTCGGTACGATATTCAAGATATTTTAGTCTTTTCTAGGAGAAAAATCACGTGGTTGCTGTCAAAGAGATTTCATATTTGTAAGTAGTTTCCTCCAGGAACACAAACTGCGATATCTCAAATATCGTATTAATTGTAAGATGAGGCGACCCGTGTGTAGCATATTTACTGAAAAATAGCACAGACAATGAAGAATCAGCTGGTATTCCGTTCAGCCTCCCGTGAGAACCAAAATGATTTGCAAATGAGTGTACTTGTCGAAGTCTCTTTGATTTGGTTACAAGTAGAACATAAAGTTGACGGGATTTCACCCAGCTGATGAGCCTCGAGAAGAGCGAAACCGGTCGTGGGTTATCGAGGAGTTCTCAGCAACCTTGTGAGTAGTCTCCTTTATGAAATTATGCCAACTAAAATATCAAGCAGTTAGATGAAGCACATTGAGTAGAGCCGGATCTTTCTAAACAAAAGATCTATCTGGTTTTATTTGAGTCTTCTATCGAAACCAAATTCATGCGTGAATGACAGTATACGCCTGCGCGGTCTTCGGTGTGAATCTTTCACGATGCGTGTCTTGCAAGAATGGAGAAATCGGCTCATCGTCAGGGAAACACGCGATCGTTCCAATCAGTCACGTGACTGACACTAAAACTACTCAACCGCTCTCAGGAGCCAGATGTTCCGGGCAGATCTTTGTGACTTCTTTCTGCTTAGTCGGGGTAACGGAGTCTTCTTGAGTCTGAACAAAATGCGGTTTTACACACAGTTGGTTAAGTTTGAAAGCAGGTTCCGAACGGCACCAACCCAGTGCCAGGATAAATGTCTGATTTCCAAGACCCGAATGAGATAGAGACCCAAGGACTCATCGTTGTTCGACCAATATTGTCTTCATTCATCCTGCCAAGGCCAGTCTATTCTTTGACCGATACATAGCCGACGTGGATCGACGCGTGTAATTACGTGTCATCGCAGGTTGTATTAGCCGTGCTAGAGTTATCATGGAGGCTGTGATAAGCCAAACGGAACAGGAGGTTGCATGCTCAAAAACGAACGTTTTCGATTCCGTCCTGAGCTGAAAAGAAAATGCGACCACGTGCTGAGTTGGAAGGGTTCCCTTCGGAACTTTACCAGAAGCAGCCAAAGTGAAACCCATTCAACTGGAGTTAGTTCCTTGTCACCTGTGACGGAGTGCATCAAGGTCTACTTCAGGTAAATGAGTAGAACCACTTTTAAAGCTATGCAAGTGTTCTGCAACCAAATCGGGACAAATTCATCGTACTACAAGAGTGAGAGAACGGGTTTCCAAGAAAATCACAATTTTTGCTGGTCTCGAGGGTAGTGCTCACTACTCAGATTGAGTAGTGTATGCTGGCGACTGAAAATAAAAGGGTCGTGACCTTGCCCCTAAAGTTGGCCACGTTGAAACACAACCCCCAGTGACCGACGGAGTCCAATATAGGAGGCCGGCTGTACTTCCATTTGTGCAGACGGCACTCCATCAGGAATGACTATGTTTACTGATTTTATGCCAGGCGCTGCTGTCCTCAGCACGCGGTAATAGTCAGAC